TTGCTAGTTTTGCTGCCTGCTAGCCCTGCAGAACGCGAGAGATCCAAAAAACGATCACGTTTTATTTATACAGATGTGCTTCCAGAGAGGTAAGTATCCTATCTAAACCAGTAATTCTCGCAGGCTAGTTTCAGGGTCATTTCCTTCTCTCCGCATGCCTTTTAAAATGAATAGAGTACCAATCTCTTATATAAATATATTGCTTATATGGACGCATAGGAATTCTCAACTACTGAACAGATTTAGCACAAAGGGCCCAAGACAATTGTGTCCTTCTTGGTTCAGCTGAGAACAGGAACACATTCTCCCAATTTTCTTTACATTTTGGAACATTTTCCATTTTCCAGAAGCACGGTGATAAAGTCCTATGAATGATCTTAATACCAGCAGCGGGAACAGGATATTTACTGGGGGGTCTGCATGGATACGTGGAGGAAACGGCGAGGCCACGCGACAGCCCGAGCGCACACGGCTAACCGAAACACTGCAGCTGCGGGCCATCACCCTTTGGTCCGTTCATCGTGGCTCGGTCTCCATCACGCGTTTTTGATACGTATTAAGGACAGGGGAAAAAAATATGTAATCTGAACTAAAACAGAATCAGGAAGGAACACAAACACTTTGAAAAGAGTGTAACAGCACTGTAACTGTATTATAGCCGCAAGCATGGAAAAGGTTAGAGTGAGAAAAGCACGAGAGCCTTTGTTACTGGTTACTCCCTTCATCTGCCTTTTTCGATCCTCAGCAGGTATTTCCAAGAGATGCTGTAAGAGCAGACTGCTCCTGCAGCCTCTTCTGCACTCACACCTGCATGAAATTTGCCCCTTTCAAACCACGCTCGTGTTCTTTAGACCTATCGATACCTCTGTCCTCAGAGAAACAGGCAGTTTTCGGTCCACCACGCGCTCCCCCTCTTTACCTGCAACACACAGGCATGAGTGGTCGGACGTGAGATTTCAAACAGGACCGCTGCAACTGAAAAATAAAGATGTAGCATTTTTCTTTTAAACCACCCTTCTTGCTTTGCTTTTCTTTTTCTTTTTTTTTTGTCCGGATATGACATCAAAGATCTCAAAACGTCACTGCAGAGCCACTAGAAGCAGCACGACGCAGCAGCCTTGCCAGGAGCTGGGCTCCGAAAGCGCCCGCTGACGAGCGCCGGGCGCAGCGGCAGCCGCATAATTTCTAGCCTGACCTAGCGATATACTGCCCATCTTTTACACAGCCTCACTCAAAAAGCTTTCTAAACCCAGTGTGACCTACCGCAAAGAAACTGTCGCAGGAAAGCACAGATGCTTGCAAAAGGCCTTTTTTAGGTTTTCCACAACATAATGAAACGCAAAGGCAAGCTGTCAGGCGCGAACGCTGGTTAGGAACGGGCTCTAATTGGCAATGAGCTGGAATTTAAGGGGGTTTTTTCTTTGGGTTAGTAACCTTTTATTAGCTAAACAAAGTTGACAAGATAAAGCCTTTCTGATGGAATGCATGTTTTCCCTCTCTTTGACATATTTGCATTACAAATTGACCTGTCCACATTGATGATAATATAGATGTAGAAGATTACAGAGTTTTTTTCAGCCAGACCTTCACATCTGGCAGCCCGCTACTCACCCATTAGCAAAGAGAAAAGGAAAGCCAAAAGTGACATGCCTAATTGTAATGACCTCCAGTCAGATACGCTTCCAGAAGTTATATCCAAAAATCACTCATCTGAGCATATTTAAAGTAGAGCTCAGCGGGGGGATGTGCTTGCCAATTTACTAGACTATTTCCATGCTGATTAATTAGATGCATGCCCTGCTTTAGCTCTTATGACAACTATGCTTTTTATTTATTACTCCTTCATTAAATCTTTTGTGACAATATAAAGAAAAGACATCAGACTAGCGAGTGTACTCACTAGTACTCTTTATATTTCTGGAATGTGAAAATCTTGAGAGCATCCCATTAAAAATTAATGTTTTTAAATTATGGTCCTGAGCCTACTTATCTAATAAAATTTACTAATGAGAAATTAGAAGACACCTATAACTTGTTCCTTCCAGAGCTGCCAGGAGAACATTTGAACCATCTCATATGTTATTTATATATTATTACGATGAATTTTAAAAGTGATACTTTAATCCTGTGCTAATGGGTATTTCTAGTCATCCCCCTGCCACACACACACATGCAAACTCCTAAAAGTTGAATTATTAGGATTCGGGGACAAAAGATCTTTCAGAAGAGCAGCAGAAAAATTGTACACTGGAGAGGGTAAGTAGGAATGCCACTATTTCTCCCAAAATCTCAAACTGAGCATTAACATCTGTGTGCCAATAATTAGCATGATTATAAATGATCATTTAAAGCAGCAGCTATTACCAGTAGCACTTGTAATGGTGGAACCAGGTTTCAAAAAAGGTAAGAGACTGCATTCTTCTCATCCATGCAGCTTCCATTCATTTACATCTGATCAGCATGGACAGGGATCAAAATTACCCTCCCTGTGTGTCTTGGAGAGAGAAGGAGGGTCGAGAGAGAGACGCAAACTGAGAGCAAGAGATGATTTTGTGGCTCTGTTCATTACGGAAAGGCCAGGAGACTCTTTAAAATGAAATGTAACTTCTACAGCAGCAAAGGAAAGACAAATGGCAAAACTCTTCACATTATCAAGGTCATCTTCCAGCCTTTCGTAGACTGCAACTCTCTACAGAAGCATGGGGCCCCGGAACAGATGTAACAGCATTTTGGAGAGGATAAATTAGATTGAGACTTTCTGATACCACTGAATCCTGGTAATTAGACTCCTCAGCTTGCTGAGCCATCCTTGCAGGCCTCCTGCCAGCACTCCAAGACGAGGGACTCGTGGGGGAATCTCGAGCAACCAAAGGATCAACTTAATGGGCCACAAATATGAAAAATGTGCTGGATGTTATGCCTTTAAATTACTGTTGCTAGCCAAATTCTGGTTCATAATGAAGCACACAGTTCAGAAACACTTACGCGCTGCAAAAAATCAAACTGCACACTCACAGCAACTGTTTGGAGAACAAACATTTTTAGATGATTTTCCTAGATTTTCTAATGAAGTAAAGGTAAAAGATTCACTTTCATCAAGAACTAAAATTCGCTTACAGAGACTGCAAAGTTTCTAAAGTTGTAAGCAATAAATTTTGATTTTAAAAGTTGATGACCCATTAACCACTCATAATAAAAGTAGGGATTCTGGGAAAACTGAATATGCAGAAGTAAGTCTAATTTTCATCTGCAGATGGAGAACGATTTTTTTTTGTATATAAAATTCTGGTAGGCGTTCATTGTTATGCTTTGGTTTCTGTTAAAATATTTTTTGCCCTTTATCGATTACTGTCTCTGTTCATTGGCTAATATTTTGTACTTGTCTTATTTTCATTGTCTATTTAAAATTCACTGGACCAAAAACTCATACAAATGACTTGTGAAATTTAGCTTGGAGTTGCTGTGACTTTGAGAACCCATTGATCCAAATATGCTCCCAAGTAAATGCATGTCAAGCCTTTATATAGCCGGGTTAATTCACTTTATAGCCTTCTTAATGTATGAGGTTTTATGTTTTACTGTATATCTGCTAGTTTGAGTCTGCTGCGTTGAATTAAATGCATATGTGGTTCAAATAGGTCCAAGGTGACAGCTGGGGCTAATTTTTAAGCACTTTAAATATTATTATCCTAAGTTTTTTTTTTTTTTAAATGAAAAGCTGGAAGCGAAGAAAATAGAAACCACCCTCTTTAGAAAAGAGGAGATTCAGTGAAAATAGAGGCTCTGTGTTTGCAGTCTAGCTTGCCAAGTAATGCTGAGGATGAACGTGCCGCCGCAGGGCACATGCCGGCTCACCCTGGCCCTCTCGTGCACGCTGAGCCCCAGACTGTCCTCCCCAAGCAGGCTCAGGAGCAGGGTGCTCCGCTTAGCACGTCTGAGTGCATTTGTATTTCACAGTTGCGCAGTTTATAAAACTAAAACAAGAGGCAGAATCCCCTTACTGAAATTCCTTTATCTTTAAAATGCCATATGCAGAGATTTGAGAACGCAGCTCATGATGTAACTGGTTTGGTATCGGTCATTTGCCAGCCTTGGGCATCTGAACGGCTGAATCCCACCCTTGTTTAACGGCAACTAACAACGTCTGGGATAAACACATGCACATACTCTGTAGCTCACTACTCTGACTGTTACAAAAAATAAAATTTTCTGTCTTTCTTATTTTTTTAGTATCTCAAAAGGCTTTATAGGCACCAATAAATTCTTGTATTATCCATGTGAAGGAGATAGTGTGGCCCTCTTCCAGGAAAGTACTTCAGTGTAGGCTTAACTTAAAGCATGAACATAAAGTTATGAAAATAAATGGAATAACTAAAGTACTTCATTTCTGCACTGTTTAAGTAGCTCGGTGATCTAGGGATACTTGCAAATGGTGCTGAGACATGCACTGGGATCACACAGTAATTTACTTACTAACATGGAAACAAAATGCAGAAAACGTGATTCTTAGGCACAATGTTCAGTAGAACACCTTCTGCACACTGTATTAACTCACATTGCCACAACACATTTGGACAGGCTTCAAGGAAAGAAAGAAAGAAGAAAAAGGCTTTGCCATGCGTATTCTGTTCCTCAGGGTTACTTAGAAACCATATACTTAGGTCTACAGATCTGGCCACAGTACCAACATCCTTCCAGCTTCATCAACAAGAAGCCTCTAACAAGAAGCCTCCAACAAGACGCACAGCAGAAATCACAACAAAACAATTAGCCCCACATGCTTTTACCAACCTCTATGTTCATGCTCAGTCCTTTGGAGCACAGTAAGCTTTTAGAAACAAGCCCTTTCATACTAATTTTCATGGTATAAAATGCAAAAATGGATTATCTTTCCTGATCACATCTCAGAAGACAACACTGCTGTTACGGATGTTCACGCGCATTAGTCCCTGGCCCACCCTCTGTCAATGGCAAGGACACACAAGACCATCGTGACTCACGGAAGGCTGTGTAGAGCTCTTGCAGGGTTAAGTAGCCATCGTTGTTGTAATCATCGAATCGGAGAAGGTCTTCTAGCGTACAATCCAATAAATCATCCTCTAGATCCTCTTTCTTCATTACCTGGGGCCAAGAGAGCATGCAATGTTACATGCAATGTTAAGCTACAGATTCTGGTCCTTGTGGCCCCAGCAGATTTTTCATTAAACAATCTTTAGATAAAATACAAAAAGAGAAAGTAGAGACAAGGGCTGAAACCCAGTCCTCTCCTCTTTTTATTCATGGCAATTCCTCCATCTTTGGGTGAGGTTTATGTTTCCTCTTTCTTTTTACAGATCGACACGTTTTCAAGGAACACGTACAAGGTGGTGGGAGCCCGTGCCCTGGTCATCGTGCACACCATTCCCAGAGGGCAGACACAAATTTTGTCTAAGTTAGACTTTAAGAAAACAGTTTGGGGCTTTTCCCTCTTTTTTATTTTTTATTTAACTTTTACTTCTATAAGGGGGGAATTTTTGAAGGAATTAGTGGCTTACAAATGCCTGGTCGCTGTGGATCAAAAGCCACCTAGAGCAACTCTAAAGTGACTAGCGTTACACATTGGAGGTAGAGGCCCAAGGGGTTTAGGGACCTTTGGGCATCTTTATCTATGGCCTCTTCCCCAAAGAGTTTCTCATCAGAAGTGCTAATGCTCCATCCCCTGACATCCATGGAGAAAGAAACAACCTCAGATTTAGCAAAAAAGCAGGCTTCTTTAGCTTGGCATGGTATTGAGGGGGAGAAGAAGAGCCCACCTCCTTCAAACCATGTGTCTACCCCAGCGCACATGGCAAACGCTCCAGCCCAGGCTCCCGCATTTAGACGTCTCACGAGGAAAGAGAAGAAAAGAGAGGGAGGAGAAGGGTTGGGCAGACTTTTCTTGAGGATTGGGGATAGCATCGCCTGGATTTCCTTCCCCCAGGTACATCCCTCATCTTTAAAGAGGGGGTTTGAGATTAGCTGCTTCTCAGAGGACAGGAATAACTTGGGCTCCAATACCATAACAAGAGCTAACTACCCAAACATAAAAACACTCAACCAGGAGAAGAAAAGATTTTTTTCTCCTCTCTAGGTAGGGATGCAATTGCATCCCTTGCCTTTAGGACTAGAACGGGCAAGAGTCGATGGTGCATTCAACACTGACGTGTTTTTCAGCATCTCCCAGTGTTTCTTATATATGCTAACCATTTCACAATTTCTGCCTCAGAAATCGAAGAAGCTTTAGATGTCGTACCGCCAAGTTAGCAAAAAGCTCAAATCGGACCCAAGCATAATTAAAATTACAGGTTCTCTGAGTTTATTGCAGAGCAAAGAAAACTGTTGAAATGTAGCATCTTCAAGGCAGGAAGGATTTTTGCTGTAGCCCAAAACCGCTTTTATTTACTATTCTAGTCTTGGCCTATTATATTAAAGCAATTTAAAGTAATAGTGCTAAAAAAAATGACCCTTCACCTAGCAAGTACAAATGTTCAATAAAAGTGAGATCAACCATAACTTCCAAGATCAATCTTCTCAAGATGGAAATTTCCCTTTGTCTACTTTTGTATTGAAAATTGATTAACTTTTCATAGGACTGACAAGTTTTTACTAGTCCTTTTGATTTAATGTCGGGGGGAAAAAAAAACCTTTACCTGCAACGTATTCAGTAGATTTATGAATCTGACTTTAAAATACATTGAAATTTTAAATGGAAATAACATTCCAATTACTACAATTGTTAATAGCCTTGTATACCCATGGCTGCAAAACTACTCAGATATTTCACCCTGCTGTGTCTGGAAAGAAACTGTTCAACAGGGTATTCGGGGAGCAAGGGGACTAACAGAGGATGGCTGCCATCCTCTCCGGAGGGGTTCTGCTTCCAGCTTTTCCCTTAGGAGAAATCCCTCTGCAATAAGCCTTCGCTTCAGGAGTAAAGACCATCATTCAAACCTTAAAAATGACTTTGGTGTTCCTGCAGCAGTGCACGTTACCTGTCTCGGGTTTTTCTTTGCAGACAAGATTGTGGTGCTCCAGAGACTATTTTTCTTTTAAATAAAACAAAGGAAATGTACAGCCACAGCTCATCTGGTGGCCAGAGAGAATGAGATCGCAGTATCTCCCAATGCACCACATTCATTTTATTTTCCTCTACTGGTGGGTAATAAAACTCCTGTCTTTGGAGGAATCTGAAATTGCACAGAGCTTCAAATTAAAAGAACCAACACGAATCAATCACAGATCTACCTAACAAGTCAAGAAAAATCTGTTGAGACTATAACATGGAAAACTAAAAATCTCTCGTTAACTAATACATCTCTTAAAAACTAGGGGAATAAACTAGTCATGTAATAGCACATGAAAATCATCCTGGTGTAAGAGCCAAAAAGGAAAAATGCAGAAGTGCCATGCTGCACGCACAGTGCAAGCACGCCCAGCGCGCGAGCCCCAGAGCGCTCCTGGGACACGTCGCCGCCCGCGCCAGCTCTCCCAGGGAGACTGGCACGGCGGCGCCTGCACCACTGAACCACTGCACCTCATTGGGGGAGATTAAAAATATTTATGGCTTGTCTGTATTTAGTATTAACTGGCATGATAACGTCTTTGGAGAGGAGGTTTCGCTGTCAACTTCTCCATGCCGGTGAAAGCTTTTGGGATTACGCCACGGACATTGCTGCGACGCAGGCTAGCCCGCTCGTGCGGGACCCACGCATGCACCCCGGTGGGGCTGCGGCGAAGCTGCAGAGCAAGGGTGAGATGACCATCTCCTCCAGGCTGCTTTCTCAGGATATTCAGTCAGCAGCTCCAAAGAGCCGAGCGAGGAGGGAGATGGAGGTTCAGTGTTTTTTAATGCTGTTTTTGCTGATCCAGCTTGTTCAACAAACTGGAGCGGGCTCCAGCCGTGCGAGCACCTTCACCAGCCACGGCCTTTTGGCTGAGTGGAGAACAGGAGCCTGCTGGAGCAATTTTAGTAACATAGCGAGAACAGAAGAATTAAAAAAATGGAATAGCCAAGGTCTACGTTTGCTCTTGTGAGAGAGATCTGGGCACCAACCACCCTGGCAAACGAAGTTCGCGGTAACTTTGCTGCAGACCTTAAATCACTGAACTCTAGTCCTTTAAAATGCAGGTCATCCTTCCTTCCTAATGATAATGGGGTACAGGCTGCCAAACCCTTATTTCCGCACAAGTTGAGTTTTAATATCCTGATGGAATAAGCTTCATGTAAAAAGGGTAAAAAATTGGAGAGTAGAAAAGACACTTAGATGTCACTATGCAAAAGCTGGCTTTGAATTCAGATAAAAGTGTTTTCTTATATCTACCACATCTTTATATAATCATGGAATTTAGATGACGTATTGTATGCATTCGTAGCTAAGAGATCTAAGAGAATTTGCGCTGACACTTTGCGCTTGACACTTTGCATTGTGCAAAAAGGCTCCCGTGTCATGTCAACAGCATTGGGATTAAAATCCAGCGCAAACCGTCCTGCTCGGTAGCAAGCGCAGGGGAGCTTGCTTCTGTCTCCGCTGCTCGCAGCTTTCATTTACAGGGCAAAACTGCAAGCGTACTCACGTCCAGCGCGCAGAGTCAGCGCAGACGAGACACTTGTGAAGAGCAAGGGGTAAAACGCTAACTTTTGCAACTGAAACAGGTTTTGAAGAAGTATTCACTTCTAAAAGGTTCAAAAATATTTATTTGCTTTAATTCTTCTCAAGGAAGACATAACAAAATGGAAAACATATTCAAATGTTAATATTCCCATCTGGGCTTATTTTCCTGATTTTGAGGTTGGCCTAATTAAAGCCCTGGCACCCACGTGCCCGGGCCACCCGCACCAGCATCCTCCCAGAGAGCCTTGGCCAGCCGGTGCAGGCGCTGGGTGCGGGGCGGCGGGCGTGCGGGCTGCCTGGCTTGGCGACAGCAATAACGCCGCGCGGGGAAGGTTAACTGACGGGGCGGACCTTGCTACGCCGCCCCACGCTCAGGGACGTACAAACCATAAGAAACAAAAGAAACACAGAACCGAGAAGCTAATGAGTCCGCAGGTCCTTCCTGCAGACCGGCGCAAGGCTCTTCTCCTGTTTGCAGAGTTGTTTTCTCAGGCTTGCACCTGAGAAGAGCAAGTTCAGTAGGCAGAGAAATCTGCCCAAGTGTCTGCAGAGAAATCTGCCCAAGTGTGCGCTGCGTATTGGGTTAACTCTACCAATGAGAGGAACTGAAACAGCACAGCATGCCCATAATTAGAAATAACAGTTTTCTCAGGCTCTGCACCTTTTCTAACGTTATTAAGTTCAGCTAATCAACGTTTCAGTATTTGCATAGGGATCCTTGGAGAATAAAATATTCTCTGTTAAAATATTTCAACTTTACTGCCATGTTAAGATATGGTAATACACGGTCCAGAAGGCAGGAAAGAAGAGGCAAGAGGCTTCTTCCCAACTTACAAACATCTAAATATCCAGACTAACTCTACACAAGCCAGCTAACTGGAAATACTCCAGAAGACGACTGTTAGCAGTGAGGATTATTATCCGTTTTTCAGGGGCAAGGACGGGGCTGGAAAAATGCCATGCTGTTTGTTTGCAAAGGAGCTTCAAATGTTTGAGACAACACCGTCTCCCTAGAGATGGAGAAAGAGACTCGCTCGCTGCAGCTGATTTTCTTCCCTCACCTGCCATTGCACAGACAGTTACAAACGACTGTTCTCACAAGAATTCTGCTGTGCTGTATTCAATTTACACTTTGAATGAAAAATGCAATCCACTTCATAATTCAATTTTCATTGAACAATAAACCCACCTGAGCCAGTTCAGAGCTGCTGAGATGCCCATCACTGTTCATATCCAAGTACTTAAACATATCTTCAACTAAGGAGCGCTTCTGCGATGCTCTGTCCTCTGCAGGGCTGCTCGGAGGACTCTGACGTTGAGCTTGAAGGTCTAGAAGGATGCTCTTAAGCCGGCTGTAGTCTGCCATCGTGCATGCGTCACCTAAAAGATAAGGCTGCATTACTGGACCACGTACGTTTGCCTTGATCTTTTTAAAAGACTGAACTTCTAATGAGAAAAATAAGGCACAATCAAAGCCAGGCTGTCTGCATACATAGCCCCACTCAGATGCTATACTTTAAGAAATCCTCTAGTCATTACCTTTTGTAAGAGCTGACGTTTTTTATAAATCCTACTGTCAAGGAAGCTCTTGAGTATGTTAACTTCCAGATTACAGAGCTTTGGCTACAGACTTCCACACTCAGCTTCATAATCCCCACCCATGCTAAATATGCTCTACGTTTTTCTAAAGATAAAATAAATTCGTCTGTCCTATGATTATAAAGTAAAAATAAATCTTGAGAAGTTGATGGCTAGAAAGCTCTGTGACCATAAACAAATGGCACTTGCGAGTCCTGTACCACACAAAATGCAGGACTGACTTATGAGTGAAAACCAGGAGGATCTGGGGCCAACGAGGCATGAACTCCTCAGTGATATTAAATGTATTATCTATCAAACTCCCTCTGCATTACAGAAAGAGGAATCCTGAAATGCAGCACATCAGCCACCAATGGAGCAAGCGACCTGCAGAGCTTGCCAGCAGCTGGGGTGCAATGCTGCTAACCATGTGCATCAGCCTACCAGGGAGCGAGGCAGGAAGGGGCTGCCTTAACCCATGACATGCTAAAATCCTACTATCAGCAAAAAGCCCTCAAATCACTCATTCTGCCTTGCCTGAAGGAACCAGCCTGAACATTTCATGAGCTTGCAGCTTCCGACTGAGCACTCTAAGCATACAGAAGTCAGTTCTTCAGTGATGCTTCCCTGGGAATACCTTGGGAATTTAAGAGTATCCTCTTACAGAAGAAGCACGTCCACCATGACTGACTCGCTGTCCCTTTCTGCTCAACTGCTGTGTAGCAGAGCTTAGCGGAAAATGATGTGCGTGGCCATGCATGCGGGAGCATGGGCCCTCCCTTTGGCGTAAAGCTGCTCGATTTGGTGTAAACCACCGAGCTGTGCTTTGCACTAACCTGGCTGACTTTGCACTAGAGCAGATACCGGAGTGCCCACACGCCAGCCACCGCACACACTGTGCAGGCAATCGCCATCACTGGCTGCCAGCAGTGACATATCCAACTACTCCTGCTGGGCACAAAAGAGGACATTCACCCACGCCTTTGCTCTTGTAAAGGTAGTTTCAAAACAACCTTGAATTTTAAGTCCCATCACAGACCCAGCTGGATTAAATTTGAAGGGACTGGTCTCAACTCAGTATGAGGGACATGCTCCTGTAAATTACCTGAAGACTGCAAGCATTATTCCTCTGAAAATAAGAGAAGACCCCAGCATACTGACAGCCAGTTTCCCTGTCCTTTTATTGCAGAGTTGCATCATTTTTGGTCCTCTGGTCCCACTCCAACTGAAATCCAATTAAAATTCCAGGTGGGAGGCAGCTCTCCGATAGCAAACCCATCTACCTTTGAGATTGTTGTTCACCCTTCACATTTTGTGCTTGTAACTTCAAATGTACCATGACTTCAGAAGAGGAGGGAAGATACACAGGCCAGACCTGCCCTCACTGTTCAGGTCAGTGTCCTGCTGCTACAAGAGCAATAACCACAAGGAAAGGCTTATTTTCTGCCCTGAACTTAGACCCTCATAGATTTGAGAGCTTCTCACTGCTCAGGGACGCAGAGATCACCTTGGAGCCAGCTATCCCATCTTCTGTCCGTGACCAGAAAGGTAGCTCTTAAGAAGCGCAAAACTTTTCCTCCTCTCTAAACTACCTCCAAGGAGTTCTTGGCCCCACTCTCCTTTAGTCCAGGAATGTGGGCTCAATCTCACCTTACAGAAAAACTGGGCTACTCAGTTGCAATTTCTTGCCTTGTTTATCTGTATTCCTGTATTTTTTTCAACACTGGGTCATCTGATTGCTATTCTGAGGGTGGTCTACAGAAAACTTTCTTTCCGTCATGTGCTTATTTAGGAGAAAAACTGAATGACTTAATCCAGCGCAATCAAGCAATTTTGCAATCCTGCTGTAAACATGGTTTTGGCCACTGCAATAATGGAGTGTCTTCTGAGCAAGGGTTCTCCTTTCTCTGCAGTGAAACATTAATCCCAGAGAAGTATCTAAGGCTAATGAAGAAAGGGAAATCTATTTAATTTGCTTCCACCTCTGCTTTTGCTTTGTGGTTTTCATTCAGGAGTGTAGGGCCCTCTGTCAGCAGCCCATATGGTGCCATTGGGGTGAGCTGACCCACTGGCAGCATCCTCCACGTGGAGGATACCACATCGCACCTCGGTTTGCATGCGCACATCACAGTCACCGCTTTTGAGGGCGGCAGTCACCAGATTTGCTCAACCCTGACAACTCCCATTAGGCCCTTTCTATTTCTTATTTCTTCCTCCTATCTGCTTTTGCCAGTAGCGTATGCCAAAGCAGCTCTTCCTTTACTGCTTTCAGACCTTTTGTCTTCTGCAGTTGGTTCTTCTTCCAGATACTCATATCTGTTGCCTAGGGTAATGCCGTCTAGCTGAGTAGCCTTACTCCCTTGCTAGCTTTTGGACTCACCTTGATCCTAATCCTCTTCCTGACCACAAAAGTCAGCACTGGGAAAAGACATAAGTACTTCTGAAGCCCCTTCATCTGCCCTAACATCTCTTCTGCTCAACGTATTAAGCTTATATGGATAATCTCTCATGGCTAACGGCAATTCCTGGTGCCAGTGAGGGACCAGTGAGGGACAACGCATCTGCTTAAAGAACTACCTGGATGTGACATGGTTCCTCAAATGCTTCAGCCAAAAATGAGCACAACTACATGTTTAAACAGAAGTTTTAGTGTGAATTGTGTGTTCATGCAATGAGCCACGTTTGAAATGAGTGAGCAGCCTGTGCATGAGTCACGTTTGAAATGAGTGAGCAGCCTGTGACAGTGTGTCTATCTCAAATTTGCTTGGAGAGTTTTTTGTCCAGTGAAATAAAAGCAATATCTGCAGGGAATGCCTGTCTGAATACAGACATCGCATCTTCTGTCCTGAACGCTTGGGACCCAGCCAGCGATGGTTAACACGTGGTCCTGCGGCTGCAGCACGGGCAATGCTCAAACAGAGAGAAATCAAGGAAATCACGGAAAAACAGAGTTGGGGATGATCACCTCTAGCAGCAATTCCCACTAACTCTGTAAATCCTACTATAAACTCACTTAGAGGACCCTTTTTTATGGATTTCCACTGCTGCTTTGCTGTGTGTCAGGGATGAACTACCCAACGGAGCCCCGTCCTGAAAGTGGGATGGTGCCGTTGCACCATCTACATGGCTAGGAAAACCAGCAACATGACAACTATGTCTTTTATTTAAAAAGTAAGCTCAGTTTCATGTTTCCCTAACACATGCCACAGTCAGAAGACTGCCATGCTCCACCTCTGCTAGAAGCTCTCAAAAACCTCATTGCCATCCCTTTCCTCTGGAGAGGACAACACTGCAGCTCTGCTGGAGATGACTACCCTGGCAGCAGCCCTGCCTCCTACCAGTGCGAACGTGACAGCCTCAACAGGTCTCGCGCCTTTGAAAAATTTCCCCTGGCATCTGTGATATTTGAGGCTTGCAGTGAGGCAAAAGCAGTCACTCTAAAACAAAGCATTGTACTGTCACTAAACCCGCAGTTTGTAACATGCAAAGGAAAGAGTAAAATCAATAACTTTCTATCCTAGGGGTGCGAGATTAACAATTTGTGTTTGTTTGTTTGGCTAACTGAAAGATTGACAGGAAAACGCATTGTGTATGGACTGAAACTACTCATATATATGAGTATGCCTATATACGTATATCTATATATGCATACTTCATATATTTAATCTCACTGTAGCGAAAAAGCAGAGGGAAAAATCATTGCAGGTCAAAGGAAATACTCTGTCTGACCTGAAACTATGCCTTTATAATTGGCCTTGGCCAAAGCATTAATCCCCAAACCATCTGCGCTTGGGGTGCTTTGAGTCATGCTTCACAGCCTGGACCTAATGTTATTTAAAGGCAATGTCTATGGTACTCCAGTGAGCACATGCAGATGCGGCTCACTGAAGGTGCCCCGCACAAGACTCGGTCCGCACCTCCGCTCCGCCAAGAGCAGAGGATACGCATTTAGATAACTTGAATCTTTTGGGACACCAATGCCAAGGACAATGAGGCTCTCCTGTTGGGAAGATCCTTCCCTTCCTTTACTAGGCATTATTCTTTCATCCTGTAACCTGGTTATCTTCCCTGCCAAGACTGCTAACAGCCCTTCTTTGGAGTTGGTTGTACAGGTCATTTTCTCTCCTTCCCACCCCGCCATCTCCTGCTGTCAATGACACTTGTAATCTCCTTATTTTGTGCCTGGAATCCACCAGCTTTATCTCCTAAATACTCTCTCTTTAGGTTTCTGGCAGCAGTGCTGCCACTTGTATGTTTGCTGTTCTTTCAGGTATTATAACCATTACTGTTAAACAAAAAGAATCACAGAAAAATCATCTTTATGCCCTCTCACTTATTCCCATTCTTGTCCCCACTTTGCTAAGTGCCTCCAGCAGTTTCCTTTACAACTTGAACTCATCATTAGCAGTTTATCTCATCTCAGGCTGCTCTCATCGGTAGGGCTTGTTAATAGATGTCTCTCGGCTGGGTTTCATTGTTAGCAGCTCCTGGGGACCTGGATTCTTTTCACAGTTGCAGCCCAGCTCAGACATACCAGACAGACACATTTTACATTTCCAGAGGTCTCTTTTTGGAGGTTGCCCTGCTGGTCGGCACAACGGGAGGTGGATGCCGCTGCTTTTTTTAAACGCGGTTTCGCAGGAATTCTTCCCTTCTGTGTTTAAAAACACTCAAAACGCCACTCACGCTGCTTCCAGGTGTGCACCTTTCCATACGGCCGATGCATTCGCTCACCACACTTCCCCATCATAGCTGGGCAAGTGAGAGACACAGAGCCAAAGGCACAGAGATTTGGGACAAGC